GGATGCCTGCTGTGTGCAGCGTGGTGTGAGCACTGCCCAGAGGGAACCCCAGTTCTCCCAGCCTCGAAAAGCACTACAGCACGGTGGTACTGAAGAATGTGTGGGAAGTCCTGCAATAAATAAAGAGGGAATATAATAAGAAAAATACATTTTCTCATTCCTCTCTGCCAGCTATTGACTTATTTCCCAAAGAAGGTGATTTTATATCCTTTCTCAAAATAATTGTAGACTATATAAACCCATCAGATCATTGAAAGACCACTGGATATCTTGCAAATGAAATATAGATATCTAAATAAATTTGGAAGAGCATTATTCTAACATCCTTCAGAAGTGTGTCAAATACTTCTGTCTTACTGCTTATTACATTACCCAGACATTAAACATATATTATCTTTTGAAGGAAAAGCAGGGATTAATGACCCAAACCAAAATGATGGATACACTGTGCAAGATGAGGTAGACTTCTGAAAGTAGCCAGAAAACAGAGGGAAGAAACATTAAAACTAGATAAATAATAGAACCAGAAGGTCAAAGAAGGATAAATTAATAGGCCTTTATTTAAATGTATTCAAATTCCATTCTCTGCACTTTGAAAAAAATTAACCAGCTAGAAATATGTTTATATTTTCTCTGCTCTCACTTTCCTTTACAAGGAAATCTCTCCCCAGCGCAGCATTACATCACAGTTAGAAAGATCTATTTTGAAGTAGAAACTGTGGCTGTGTTTTGGATGAGACCTGAGGATAGCACAGTTTTCCCACCAAAGCTCTCATTTGCTGAGGCCATGCTGCTCTGGGTGAGGCTCCCCAGCAGCAGGGTGGGAGACTGAGGGGTGGTGCACATCAGGCTTGTCCTTCTGTCCTGCACCAGTCCCACCACTGTCACAGTGGGAAAAGCAGTGAAGTAGCTGCTTCTGAAAAAAAACAGACTTTGTTTTTAGTGTTTAATCATCTTCTTTGCATGCCGTGCACGAATTACCATAGATGAAATTGAAATTTGTTGCATAAAGGATATTAATGTGGTTAATAAGACAAGCAATCGCCCACCAGTGGCCCTAGACATATCCAATAAGATTTTAATGATTTTTTTATTGTTACAATTTGCTATTATGAAACCACTAGGCCAATTTATGCCTGTTTCATCCTTAACAAGAGAATTTCTGATGCAAGTAGGTTTAAATATTAGCAGTTTTTCCCAGCATTTGGCCATGCCATTTCCTCAAGCAGCACTGACCAGTTGCAGGGGCAGGTTGCTCCAGTACTCATTAACTCCTCCCAGAGGAACCCATTTGCCTTTATGGCAATGAGAATGTGCTGGGTGGGCAGAAAGGCCATCAGGTGCGTAAAGCTACAGCAACTACCCGAGTTTCATGGCAGAGCAGGAGTGACACACAGAGGAGACAGCAATGTGAGAAACCACCGTGGCATTGTGCAGGGGAAGGCACTGCTCATGGGGGCTGTAAAAATGACCTCCTGCCTCAGCTGGGGGGGACATGTTGCTCCATGACAAGGCATGAGAGTTGTCTTTGCCCCTTTGCTACGGGTTCATGCAGTGCAGAACACTTCAGCAAGGGTTTTATTTCTTCAGCTCAAGGACACGGCTTGCAGCAGAGAGGAAAGATGAATTTATTCCTTACCAGCAATCCTTACTGGGAGCTGCGGTGAGGAGGAACACACATCACTATACAAACATCAGGAGAATGAAAATAAATGGGTATAAACAAGCCATTTGTTGGTGCTGTGATGGAGAAAGGAACAAAGAGAACTGCAATAGCAGGAGATCGGAGGGGTTACCAAAACAGACACTGCTGCAGAAGTCTGGCGCTGTCCTATGGATTTGAAAAGGTATCCCAGTTTAAAGCTGCCTTCAGGGCAGAACAGCTGGAGTTCATGTGGAGAGCAAAGCTAACAGTGATCAGTGCGTTCCCGAAAAGCAAAATGATTGTTAGGGAGGAGAGAGTCAGTGCTCAGCATGAATGCTGCTGGAGACTGAACCTGCTGTACAAAGAAACAAAGTAGAAAAATATCCCCATGAAACCAAAGGAAAAGTACATTCTCAAGGTAAGGAGTGCTGCACACATGAATAATGCTAATTCACTGAGCTGCAGCAGCATGCCTGGTGCTGCCTTTGGGGTATTTAAAATATATATTGGTTTTGAAAACCGATGGCATTTGCAATTGAGCTAGGCTGTGACATTCCAGTCTTCCAGGCAGTGATTAGGCATGCTGGTCATGGAGAAGTGCAATTATTCACTCCTTGAGAGCGATACATTTTATGGTGTGCTGAGTACCCTCTAAAATCTTCACTCACACTGCTATTAGCCACCCTCCTGTTAAGAGCACCCTCAGGATGCCCGGGGATGGTGCTAAGGCAGGATCCTGTGGATGTGCTTTGGGCAAGGAGTGTGGTCAGTGCCAGAGCACCCCATCCTCCCTGTGCTCCTTGTCCTGGCAGCTTGCTGCCTGCAGGACTGCATGGGCTAATGCTGAGAAACATAAGGGAGAAAGAGATCTGAACATCAGATGGAGCAAAGCAGAACACAGTACAAAGTGGCAAGCCTGCAAACATGGGATATGTCAAGATTTCACAGCTTGAAAAAAGCATGACCGCAATTTCTGTGCTCATCCTTTGTAGGTGAAAAAGTGTTTTACTGCCAACTGGGAATTATGACATTTCCTAGTCAGTGTGCGCTGCTCTGTGTACAGATACTGCATGGTTAGAAGAGAGTTACTGCAAAATAGCATTAAAATGTGTAAAACTAGCAGTCTCTGTGGCCTTGAGCTACTGACACCAACCGTGATTTAAGCTCATGCATGACACGATGCAAACAAAAGATATCTACTGCAGAAAGTCCTTCAGAGCATCTATAACGAGCTCTCTGACTTCTGCTGGCCAGAGATCTGCAGGTAGAAAAGGAGCCAGTGATTGAATTTATAAAAAAATGCCCCGAGTATTAACTTGGCAGAGCTACAGTGGCAGATCACAAATTATTAGAGTCCACACTTAATAAATCATTAAGAATAGTATCTGCTAGATCAGAGGAGAATAATATTGCAATGGAAAGGGAATTTCTTTGTGTGGTCTCCTCCAGCACATAGACCTGCTGTGCCGGGCTGCCTGGTGGGGGACAAAAGCACACGCTGGCAGAAAAGAGTGTTTGCTTGTAAAATAATTGAGATCCTTGACAGAGAGATTACCTGGGCACTGAGGTCCACGGATACAAAATGCTGCAGCTCGTCACACAACCTCACACACTGTTAGTAGAAGCAATGTCAGAAAAGACATTGCTACAGTAGATCATCAGACATCATCTAAGGGTTCAGAGCTAACTTGAGGTATTGGAAAACAGTGGCTAGAGAAAGGGATCTGCTGTTAGTATTCAGGTACGTGCATCAGATCTGCATGCTTCATTATCGGATTTCATCCACCCTAATAAATATAAGTCCAGTTTAGGGCACAGAGTTTTCAGTGGTTTTGGCAGGATCAGTCAGCTGTGCTCCAGCCTCATATTTTAACTGAAAGACTTAGTTTTAATGTTCAGCTGTAGCAGTGTCATGTTGATCATGCTTCATTCTCAGGGCTTACCCAGTTCAGCCAGAAAGTAAAGGTAAAAAGTAATGTGGCCTTTTTCTGCTTCTACTCTTGCATCACCAGCTGTAATACTCTCTCCTCTCAGTCACAGATGGTGATGTTTCTCCTCTCTTTTCCCTCCTGGTCACTTCCCCCCTGCACCAGTCCACCCTTCTACAATATTCCCTCACCTCCCCCAGTTTTCTGTGTAGGTGGTGCAGGACTGGACACTGTAGTACTCCCCTCCACCTTAACCACGGTGACTTCAAGTTCAAGTGTAAATTTAACTACTCTTCAGCTCCCAGTCCACTTGTCCCTGTCCCAAATAAATCAGTGATCATCTCAGGTTTTTTTCTTGGCTGTTGAACTGTCAGCTGAAGTTCAGCATAACTAAAAAGTTTTCTACATTTCCAGGACCTCTACTGATCCTACCTGGGACAACAGTGCACTTGCTAGAACTGCCTACAATCAAACAAAGTGATCACTGTGAAAAGTGGAGAGAAAAAGATTTAGGAATTAAATAGAAATCTTCCCTTCTTTGGTTGTAACATATACCCTTCCTACTCATCTATCTCCCAGGAGGAAACAATTGCACCAGAGGAAAGTTCACTTGGCTGAGACCAAAAAGCTTATTAAAAGGGGGAAAGAGAATCTTGGCCTTAATAAAGTTACCTGTAGACATGTTGAATGCACATTATATTATAGTCCTGACAGATTATATAGAGCTCTTAAACTCTGGGAAGATGTATCCTTTGTGGAAGACAAAAACCTGCAAAGCCATGATGATAAAACCTGGGAAATGCAATCTTTACTTTTAAATGGTCGAACAGGGAACATGGGGAGCAAATATAGAAATAATTTCATAGAGGAGGCAGTGTGTCACAGAGAGAAATGAGACCTGTACTAGAGGTTTTTTTCATCAGCAATTCTGCCCCATGACTCTCTCATCTTTTATCACTTTTATCTTTCCTGAAAACAATTGTGACCTTTGGGGAAAAAGTCTTCTCTTCTCTTCTCTTCTCTTCTCTTCTCTTCTCTTCTCTTCTCTTCTCTTCTCTTCTCTTCTCTTCTCTTCTCTTCTCTTCTCTTCTCTTCTCTTCTCTTCTCTTCTCTTCTCTTCTCTTCTCTTCTCTTCTCTTCTCTTTTCTCTTCTCTCAGTATTCTCAAATATTTTTCCAATTGTGGAAACAAACAAACAAACAAAAGTCTTAGATGTGGGTGATGAATCAAAAATTCCTTTAACCATCTTGTCTCAATCTTTGCATATTAACTTTGCCCAGAATGACATACAGCTGTCTTCTCCACCAATATATGCACACCCTCTCACAGGCACCCTGCTATCTGCCCAGCCAAGGAGGTGTGCTTTCATCAGGAGCTGATAACACACCTTGTTGCAGCTGTGGGAAGATCTACTGGTTTAGGTCACTGAGCACTTATAATGTGTTGCAAGCCCTCCCCTTGGCAGTTAATCTATTTGGAGGAAAATTTATCGATTTCTCACTGCTGTTCAGGGTTACAGAAGTGTGGAATGAGAGCATTACATTTGCAAGAGCGGGACAAGTACTGTGAGCCTTAGGAAAAGACACATCTGAGAAAGAAGTGAATGCATCTCTTCATTGTAATGTGCAAAGAGTATTAAGGAGATATCTACTAGTAAAGGTGTTTTATGCCTTTAAAATCCTTACCTGAGTAGATTTTTGGTAAGTGGAAGTTCACAGCTCACTCTGTGCTATAATTTCTGGGTCAAAGTTATTTCAACTGACACTAAAATTTCCTCTTTACTAACTTTCTCTTTAGCTGGAGACTGGGGAGAGGGCGGATGTTTTCAGCACAGCAGATAATATCAGAGCCTGACAAGAATTTATGAATGGGAGATGTAGACACCTTAGAAATGAGTTATGACTGAGCATAGCTCACTGAAACGAAAGAAGAAAAATCTGTGCATCTGAGAATCTACTGTCTAAGCTCTGGCACCGAGCAATTTTTTTCCTATGGTTAATTTTTTGGCTTCAGTAAATCCAATCAGATAGTGATTTATTACAAGTTTATATTCTGTGTCATTTCCTCTTCAATAATAATATTCAATGATTCATTTTCTTGTTGAGAAAGAAAGTCAATATTGTAAATCCATCCAGCTTTCATAAACCAGCTCCTCTGGGACTTTGCACGGTCTAATGGACTTTGTACTTTCTCTGGTACTCATGATACATCTTCCTTTGCGGGCCATTGCCTCAGGAATCCGTCCTCTTCTTCCTTGGTGTCTGCATCTCCCAGATAGCCGGAGATAGGATGTTATCTCTGCCATTGGGAAGGTAATCCACCTTGCTTCTTAATCATTTTTAGCCTTTTGTCAATATCCAACCTAGCAATATTGCTCTAAATTGCTTGTACTCATTTTCTAAGCTCTGTAGTCTGCCATGACAAATTCAGTGCCTTTTACATATAAATGTATCTCAGAATAATGGACAGGAGAGGAAGGCACTCTAGAGGAATACAGGAACATCAGCAGCAGGACAGAATGAAGCCCAATATCCTGATGCCAACCATGGTCTGCTGTGAATGCCAAGGGAAGATCACGAGAAGAGACACAGCTGGTGATACACCCCTGCATCCTGTCCTGTCCCCAGGGATCTGTCAGCTGGGAGCTTCCTGAGTCCATTGACCCACAAAAGATTCAGCTATGTACATTTCCTAAAGGTCATTACAGGTTCATTGCAAATGTTTTTTTGACTTGCTCTTGCCTTTTCTTCCATTTTTAATCTTTCCTTGGAACTCCTGTGTTGAACATGTCGTGCTCAACATCTATTCATCTCTGAGATAATTTAATTGGCTTGTATTTTGGGGAAGAAAAAACTGATCTAATTTTTTTTCAATTCCAGATCCCTTCCATCTGTGATTTAAGAAGGCAATTAGGTAGCTTATTTGCTGATAATGTTTTGTTAATGGTTTGGTAAAAAAGAATTGTATTAACTTCTCTATTCATTTCACCCAGAAATGTAATTTTTTTTTTATACTATACCCAAATACCATCTTGTACTGTGACTACTTATTGGAAGAATTTGGGTCTTTCATCCTTCATTTTTCTTTTACTTAAAGAGTCATTTTCCTCCTTTCCTCAGCATCATGAATTTGAGCTTGACTATGCACGTGTAGGCTTTTTTTCATGCTCTTTAATTTTTGAAACACACCTAAATTTAGAAGCCAGTAAGGATCAAGGCACTACCCAGGGCAGTCCTGGAAGGAAACCTGAGCAGCTGAAGCCCAGCAGCGCCTGTCCCCCAGCTCAGCAGGCTGGAGTGCCATGAGTGCTGCACAGGCTGCAATAAGGACTCCTTGAGCTTGAGGTATAGGGAGATTTCAGCTGAAGTCTAACACTTTTAATTAGCAGAGAATTCAGCTCTCTGACAGACTGAGTATTGCTCTATTCCTCAAGTGTACAAGTTTTACTGCTAATCTGCAAATGATCTGCTTTCATTCCTCCGTATGCCTCTCTGCTTCTGTGAGTATCATCATTCAATCACCCTTGTTTCAAAACCTCCTTCAGCAATTTTTGTATTTAATGGGGCACATCTCCTTCCAGAAGAGTTGCTGTGATTTCAGAAGGCCTGGGGATGGCGGTGGGGCAGAGGTAAGTGCGTAAACCTTCACAAAGCTCGGGATGTGCCAGGGCTGAGGGAGGCAAATGAAGGGCCCTGGCCAGCAGATGCCCTGGCCAGAGCTCTCTCCATGTTCCAAGCAGACCCAGCGGTGCCAATCTACTTTAGGATTAAAAGGAAGCTTTTAGTTCTTGCATTAAGCAGTGTTGGACTGGGCAAGCCCCAAGAATGAAGCACCATTAACATGACCCTGCTGCAGCTGAACATTAAACCTAAGTCTTTCAGCTAAAATGTGAGGCTGGAGCACAGCTGGGTGAGCCTGCCAAAAGCACTGGAAACCTGTGCCCTAAACTGGACTTCTATTTATTAGGGTGGATGAAAACCAATAATAGAGAAGAAAAAAAGCCCTGAAGAATTCAAATCTGGTGTGCAAATCTGAATACTCAATGGTTTCTAAAGCCTTAGAAATCAGAGAGGGAAAAAGGAAACCAAGTGTATTGGGGGGGAGGAGGGTAGGAGGGAGGGGTGAACAGAGACTGGAAAGGTTTCATAACATTTAAATGCAGGGATTATGAATGCAAATTAAGAACAATTGCTAAATAAGGGTTTATAGGAGTATATTAGTTAGGCATGTCAGCAACAATAAATATCATATTTTTCTCTGCTCTAACAAGCAGTCTGGTACTTTAGGCTGGCTTTTGGACTTGGGGACCTTTCTGTGTAAGGTGATCATGGGATCAGAGAACCACAGACTTGTGGTTGTGCTGGAAGGGACCTCACAGCCCATCTAATTCCAGCCCCTGCCATGGGCAGGGCCCCCTGCCCCCAGCCCAGGCTGCCCCCAGCCCCATCCAGCCTGGCCTTGGGCACTGCCAGGGATGGGGCAGCCACAGCTCCTGGGGGCAGCATGGGACAGGACCTCACCACCCTCAGAGAGAAGAATTCCCTCCTAACATCTAAACTAAATCTTCCCTCTTTTACTTTGAAACCATTTCTTCTTGTTCTGTAGCTATCTGCCAATGTAAAAAGTCACTCTCTTTTTTTTTGTAAGCCACCTCTAAGTACTGAAGGAATTACTGTGATGACCCCAGTGCTGAGAAAAGCTGGGCTCTGTCCTGCTCCATGTAGTGCCATGTGCAGCCACACGGAGATGCCAGCTGGAGCTGGAAAGCAGCGACATCCCTCAGCCTGGGCACTCCAGAGCAAATCAGCCCAAGTGCCATGCGGGGCCATTCTCTGCTGCCCACTCTGTGTACAGACACAGCCAGGCCCTCTGCACACGAGAATGCCCAGCTGGCTGTTGGACATTGTCCTCTCAGTGCTGATAGAAGCAATGGTGGATGCAGAAAATGCAATGTCCCATGGTGAAACTGCAGCAAAGAGGTTGCAGTGGCTGAGGTCCATGCTGCCAGGGCTGTCCAGCTCGGAGCTGGTGCCTTCCCCTGTTACCAGCACTGTCCTATGTAAGGCTGGGACATGAGAATCCACAGTACAAAAAATAAGCCCTAGGATAGGGGAAGAAAAAAAAAAATGATTTTTTTACAGGACAGTTCAGTGCAAGTAAGGGAATCTCATTGATTCAGAAGTTTTGGTTTCATTTCTACCAACACATCTCTCTCCTTGGGATGAGCATCTGGTAAAGATTACAGGAAAAGAGTCTGTAACCTCACTGCTGGAGAAGAGGGTTACAAAGAATAAGGAGGGAAAGGACAAAGCAGTGACAATTGCTCTGGGAACTCTGTCAGACAACCTGAAGGACCGCATTGATGAACTGGATGACGCCTGCAGCAGTTTATCTCCTCAAAGCTGTTGCTTTGATGAGTTCTTTCAGCTTGTGACAAGATCTTGACCTTGAAGGAGCTGACTGATAAAGATGTGGATGCAGCAATTGTGCTGTGGCTCGTGTCTCCACAATATCTGCTCGAGCATTCGCGCAGAAGAGCACTCTCCAGTAAACAGAGATATGGCTGGGCACACACCAGCCTGCACTGGGGCTGATCAAAAAAAAAGAAGGAAAATCGTTTTGAAAGATATGAACTGTTTTTAAATGTTGAGTCAAAAGAGATGGATCTCCTGGGAAAGACTTCTATGGGCTGTGCAGCAAGAAGGCAGGAGCAGCAATGCAGGGAGCAGGCAGCCAACACGTGCGAGGACCTTGCCTGGTTGATCAGTGCAGGCACAGGGGGCAACCTCCAGTGTCCCCTCTGCAGTCTAAAGCAGTGTCAGAATCCGGTACAGTGCCTAAATCCACATCTGCCTTGCAAAATACATCTTGCAATAATAAAACATTTTCTCAGTCTGTGTGCCAGCAATGCAGAAAGCTGCTTTGGTGGGGATAAACAGAGGAGGCAGATACTCACAGCTCATCCATGAAACGCAGCCCTCATGCGATCAGCTGCTTGCATACAGCCCCCTCACAGTAACAAACAGCACAGGGCTCTTCTCACCTCGGCATCCTGAGCGAGGAACTGAAGGATCTGTATGCCCAGCAACAAAGGCCACATAAAAGTCGAAATGGCATTTGACAGCAAATGAAGCATACCGGTTTTTATATGAACTCTTCCCAGCCAGTTCAGGTCAGTCACCCCAGATCATGCATAAAGCTATTAGTTCATTTATTCTCCGAATCATTACTACCAACTGTGCTAACTAACATAAAAAAGACTAATGGATTCCTTGAGGGAAAATTTATATGCAAGGTCAACTTTTTTTTTTTATTTATTATTATTATTATTTTTAGACAGGCAGGCAATTATCACTACTTTTATTTAATGATGCCTTCTCTGAATACATGTAATATTTCTTGGAATTACAGACTACAAATTTGAACATTTGCTTGAAATAGAATTATTGATTCATCCAGCATCAAATCTACTTGTCTCATAATTACAGACAAAGAAAAGCTCCTCTTTCTCTCCTAACAGTGTCAAGCTGTTAATGCCAATCAAAAATGCTGAAGAGCATAATAAAAGCTGAACAATGCAAGGTGGTTGGTGAGACTCTCTGTTCAGCCCAGTTCTATGAGATGCTGAATGTCACCAGGGCATGTGGCAAAATGTCAGTGTTATTTTCTTCTAAGGAAAATAACACAATTGTTGTGTTGTAAGATTAGTGTATATTTTGAGTGTAATTACAGCATGGACTATGCATCTTGAGCTACCGTAACAGTTTCAGCCAAGAGATTTCTTGTAAAACACTTTTGGCGGAGAATGATCTACGTTGTGTTACTTACCAAAAATTCTTCAAATTTTTATTTCATTTGAAATGCCCTGTTTTACACTGAAATATAAATAGCAGTTTTTTAGCTTACCTTTAAAATTACTAAATTTTCTTTCCTTGTCAGCTAGGAAGATTTCATGAAGATCTAGGAGAGGCAACATTTCCACTCCTTTCTGAAGCGATGGTGACAGCATGCTGCAGTCATCGTGATCTCCTTCCTCTCACTTCTCGCCAGACAACCACGACTCAAAGCGCCTACGCAAGCAATGCCAACCCTGCGTGAGGTTTGGAGCTGTGTTTATCCTGCAATATTAGAAGGAAAATCTAAGGTATTGCAAGTTGGGCACCTGAGGAATTACTGTGCCTTGCAGAGGGGTTAAACCCACAGAATCCCTCCAGGCTCCATGGAAGCAGCAGGAACTGAGCATCTCTGAAAACAACACACAGTTTTCAGACACTAACCCTTGCATTTCACATAAAAAGTATTGGTGGTGAGGTGAGGAATACATGCAAAAAGCCACAGGTACTCAAAGAAAACTGTTTTGCCTGAGCAACAACTTATTGCAGACACAAAACCAAATGTGCACAAAACTCCCTGCCTCCAGACAGCGTTTCCCACCCTCTTGGTCAGTGCTCCTGGTGATGACAGCAATGAGGACCCTTATTAATAGTCCAGACTGGGCTGGTTTACTCCAGCTCTCCCCTTGTTTCTTGCAATGGGCTGTAAGTACAGCATTTGAAAATAGTGTTTTGTACAAATAAGCACTGTCCCATCTGTCCAATAAAACAACCCAAACACAGGACACTTGGTGCTTTAACCATCTACATGCTTTACTATCTCCCTGGAAATCTTAAGGAGCCCTAACTCGTGCCCAGCCACACGTCTTTTATCTCAACCACCAGCCTTTCCTCTGTTTTCAGGGCTCTGTTTCAGCCCAGCAGCTGGTATGCACCAGGTCAGCTTTCAGAGGTGGACTTTGAGGTGTGGGCAGGAGGCTCCAGCCTGTTCCTCCCAGGACATTTATCCTGACAAGCCCGCTGTGAGTGAATTTGGTATGAATTCACAGTAAACTCCAACATAACCACATTCTTCCTTAGAACTATTTTCAGCAGTTTCATATTTTTTCATGTGATGGATTACTTGTTTCCCTCCTTCCCTTGTAAAATCATCTGATACTGACTTTAAAGTAAGCTGCCCAAGTCCATGGAAATGTACCGTGCTATTTGATCATAAAGTAGGTGAGTTCCTGTTTTTTTTGAGACCAGTTAATCATACATTTCCTGTCCTTTGCAATTCTCTCTCTTACATCTGTCTTTGCTGCAGCATCTTTATTCAGCCTTTTTCAGCCTTTTGCTGACTTTTTTGTTATTGCAGATACTGCTGAAGCACATGGTGCTGTGGGATAATTTTGCTGGTGCCAGCTTTCTGTGAAGTCCAGTGCTTCTTGGTCTGCTCCGTCACATTGTGATGGGCATGTTTTATGATGAGTACAATATGGGTTATTTCTAATATGCAGCTATTCATTTGTTTTGCATTAGTGGGAAAGAAATGAGGCAAATCTACCTACCTGCTGGTCCCCAGGCAGAATCTAGAAAGAGGAAGAAAGGTTTTAAATTATGTGGGCACATATAAATGCTAACTTTTAAGCACAAGAGGTTGAAGGAATGAAATTAAATGAAGGAAAGAGAAATAACAGTCAATCTGAAACATTTTAGTAGGGAAATATTTTCACCTCTGTTCCTGCAGAAAGAGTTCTTCCCAACCCTCCAAAACAAAATGAAGTGTAGAAGAAAGGAAATTGCTGCAAGAAGGTGTAAGTGCATTGTGGATGGCATTGTCAGAAAAGCACTAAGTACTGGTTCTTTCTGTACTCCTGGAATACAAATTAAAACTCCCATAACCGCTGTCAACCACAAGCAGCTTACCTCTTCTGCATCTCACTACAAAGAAACTGCAGAAACATTAATTCTGCTCTGCTCAGAGGTGATGCACACTCGTGGGTGCCTGGGCAGGAGCCGAGAGAGGGACCTCTCCCGTGTCCTGCTCCAACAGTGCAGAACCAGGCCATGTGTCTGGACCATCCCCACACCATGCTTGACTACCAGTCAACCAAGAAAACGGAAAAACTGCTGGATGGAAAGCAGCAGGCTCTGTCTTTGGGGAGGAGAGGCCTCCTGTCTGCTTGGCTGATACGCAAGGAATGGGATCATCTTATTGAAACCAGTAACACAAAGCATAAGAAAAAATACTTCTGTGATTATTGAAACTGCTGAAGCTGTGCTTCATGCAATGCATGTGTAGGGTCTCGTGTGCTCTCTGATGCCTAATAGTGGGTGAAATAAAAAGTGAGCCTTGCTCAGTTATTAATAGTGAGGAGTGAGCAGGCTACACATTTCCAAAAATAGTGTAGAAACACAAGTGACACCTGTACACCACTGTCACATTTGTTTGAAGCTGGCCAAACATTTGACAATAAGTTAAGATACAGGGGAGTTTGGGGGCTGCTGCCTGAGCTGAACTACTTGTTTAGGAAGCCAGATTAAAGTGCATTAATTAAATTGGTGAAAGCAAAATCACACAACAGCCGCTAGATGTCTGTTCCAAAATAAACTGTGCCTTCTCTCAGTTTCAGATTTGGTGCCTTTTTAAGCACTAAATATTATGCACTCCCAGAAACCTGTTTCAAGAAACTCAGAAATATCTCTCCAGGTTCGTAGCATTGTACATGTACAAGTTCCATATGCCAGCTACATGCATTTTACAGAAACCTTGGATAAAAGCAAGCAAACACCCCTGTTTAGTGAGGAAGAGATCTTTAGTGACTGAGTTCACAGTACGGCCACACAACGTGTTGGCAGAGGGCAGGGGGACACATGGCAGTGGAGAAGAGGAGGGAGCAGCAGCCACAGCTTTGCCTTGGGACAGGGGTGCCAGCAGCAGGTGGCACTTGGGGACAGATGGGACCTCCTGCTGTCGTGGGCTGGAGGCACCACAGAGCCTCCACTGCTGCTGACATGCAAGGGCTACTACTAGTATTATTATTACAAGTAATAGAAAAAATTACAATAAAGCTGATATTCTCACTGCAGGACTCATGGCAATGGATGCTGCTTTAACAAGTGAAATAACCCAACAAATAAGGAAGCAAGGTAAGAAAGCAGAATTCTTGCTCATTTGACCTGTCTCAGATGCTTAGCTGGGTCACAATACAGTACAACAGCAACATATTAAATTGTATATAAATGAGATATAGCAAGTTAGAAGTGCACAAATATTTGTAAATCCCATGTTGTGGAATGCTTGAGGTAATTAACTAAACACTGGAGCAAATTAACCCCCCTTCCCCATCTCTTTTTATTTTGGAAGGAAATAGGAGGAATAAATTATGCACTTACCATGGGCCCCCCATTCTGTCTTTGTGTTTGCTAATAGTTTTTCTTTTCCTTCTGAACATGTATTATTTATGTATGTTAAAGAACAGCACAAAATACACACAAAAAACTTGGCCCTCAGCCTGCTCTCTTAAAGCAGGAAACAGCAAGGTCATGCTGCAGATTATCTGTTTCAGAGTGAATGGCTTTATATGCTAATTCTGTGGGCTGGTAATGCAGATTGAAACATTTTGGTATTCCTCACACACACAGAAAGGTGGAGTGTGATTATTTTGTGTTGCATTTTGTTTTGAGATTCTCTGATGTGAGAAAAAAGGCACTTCATTTGCCATCCTCCCCCGTGGCTGCTGCCAAAGACTCATGGAAACTTCATCAATATTGGCACCATTTATGTGGTTCTTGCTCCTTTTGTTTTTATTTCTTTGGGTTTTGGTTTGGTTTGGTTTTAAAATGAAATAGAAATGTTCTGTGTCAAGCCTAGTTGCAATTTTTTCAGCAGCAATAAATAGAAAAGAAATTCCCCTGCCTCTGTCCCACAGAATTCCATTCACCAGGTACACCTCATCCAAAATGAGTACCTTGAAAAGAAAGCCAAACACTGCATTGGTGGAGTTCCCAATGGACTCACCCTGCTCTGACTTCATGGACATGTGCCGTGATGGAGACACACAAACAATCTGGGACTTGTAGTTCACAGGCCTGAGATGCTGACAAGTGTGTCTGTGCTTGCCTTGTCTGATGGGGAGAAATGAGTGTGATTGCCACCAGTGATAGTCACCAGGACACAGCTTTCCTTCCTCAGCTCTCCCTGCAGGTAAGGGCGCTTTGCAGAGCAGGACTGAGGCTGGCTGGATGTGGTGCACTGCATGAGGGGGGACAAAAATGCTACACCAGCACCTTAATGAGGAACCATCACCTGGGTTAAACTGGGAGTGAGTGGTGACTAAAAGACCTTTGAAGCCAAGAAACTTGAAAAGAAGCATGGACATTTATAACGGTGGGAAGAGACCTGGGAGTAGAAAGAATCAGAAGCAGCCCTCATATCACCACGACCTCTCCAAGGTCACGCAGAGCAGCTTTCCCATCAGGAGCCACAGGCAGGGGTTGCTTGTACACACATCCTCTGTGTGTCTGTGTAATTACAACTTGTAATTACAACTTGTAATTATAACTGGGATTATAGACATGTGTTGAGAAATTTGCAGGTGTTTACCACTGTTTTGTGAGTGTCTTGCACCGTGCCTTACCTGTGGCATTACTGATATTGATCTCGAATGTGCAGTTCACTGATTGCCAGTTAATTAAGTGTTGTTAATAAGTCAATAAACCACTTCAGCCCTGATTTGGTTCTAGCTATGTGAGCCATGCAGTTTTTTCCCTGCAGCAGACGGGCAGTGGCAGTAATTCCCCTGCAAGGAAGCAGTCGTTTCTGGTGAGCACAGACAGGGGTAGCAGGTGAGGCTGGGCTGTACCCACAGACATTTGTATATATTGGTCTAAAAACAAAAAACGAAAACAATTCAGCCAAAGACTGTAGCTGTGATGGACAGATAGACCTGGGGACTCCCAGGCTGCCAATTTTTCCTCCTTCATGAGCAGAGGCAGTAAAGTGGTCAAAGATCCTGCAAGTGCCACCCCAGATGGGACCTTCCCTTTTTCCAGCCCTCCCCATGGGTCCCATGGGGGGTACACTTTTGCACCCCTTTGCAAATTGGGGGACAGTCCTGCCTTCATCCTGGGGAGCTGCTCCATGTGCCATACATCCCAGCTTGCTTCCCAAAGGAGGATTGAAAAGCTGAGGATAAACAATGGCAAATACAAGCTGGTGTGAGGAGCACTGTGGAGTGGGAATATTGCAGAGTTATTTATAAAAACATACAAAATGATAAACCTGCCTGTGCTCCTTCCACCCACTTTGCTGTTGTTACTTATTTATGTTTAAATGCATATTTCAGCAAAACAGGCACATAAACAGCATGTTCGCTTCCGTCCTACTGCTTCTGTCTCTCTGATGTGACCGTGAGCTGTGGCCAGTGCTGTGTGC